ATTTCTGCATGAGCACATGCGCTACGTCTTATGAGGGGAATTAACGGGTTAGACTGATACTGCTAGTGTCATTGTAAGCTTATTTGGAAAATGACAGAATTGACGTGTTTGTTTGTAGACCTGCCGATAGAACAGTTCACGGTTATTTTCTAGTGACGTCATACGACATTGTTCCTTTGGACATATTAAACCGTCTTAGTGTAATCCAGTATTTTTTTTGCTTTCCCTTATTTTTTTTTGTGACCTCGGGCGTTTCCGAAGTGGATAAAGTTAGAGTTTGTGTCAACAGAGAGTTACCATTATTAGAAAGCCCATTGTAACGATTGGTGTATAAAGTGTAGATGTGATGATGGGGGTGATGATATAATTGTAGAATCTGATACGTTAGCAGTAATCCACATGGGTAAGTGTGATGTTACGACTGCATGTGCAATACATGCTTGCAGCTGATTATTGATCGTATTGATGTCAATAGGCTACATAATAGTAATCCATCCTCACATGTGTGTTGCATGTACGTTAATATGTACCCCCCCCCCTCTTTGCTCAATCCATTTAGCCCATCCCTTTCTTTTTTTGTTATCAATTGTCTGAATTACTGTTTCGTTAGATTGTACTAATCAGTAACTGCATCTTTGTATTCGCTAATGTTTGACCACTGTATCGGTTGCAACTCGCATGCGGATGAATTTGACTCGGATAATCAAGGGAGGATTAGAACAAGCAAAGCCGCGGGGTAAATACGGGAAATTGAACGAGTTAGTAAAATTTAATTATTCCGTACACATTTTGTACATCATGAAATTTTTTTCTTCTTGATCTGCCTGATAATAATTTTTAATTTTACAGATAATCTAACATGATCGTGTTTGCAGATCGTTATAACGGACACAACGACAATGTTAATGTGTGCGTTGAGAAATTCCATTGTAGAACAAACCACGTATTACAAGAGTATAATGCATATAACAGACATCGATATGTAGGTAGTTGATTCTGCTCACGTGTGGACGTATTATGTTATGTTATCCATACGCTCGCCTACCAAGTAGAAATCTTCCGAGTTTGCTATATGCGAATAACATATTTTGGCAGTAATGACGAGGAGACATATTATTTTCGCAATGCATATAACCCCGCCACATTACTGTTGCGTCAATAAAATAGTCATTATTCGTTTCAAAGAGAAACAGTCAATTGGCTTCAAAACGAAACGAAAATCGTTTTTACTTGCATAGTAAATACGGAGATTTTTGGCAAGGATGTATATTATGCCTTTATTTCTCATTCCATAACAATTAATCGTACTAAACCCAAAATGCATTAAGACAATGGCAAGGAGAGCGATTTATTTGATTTATTTCAGGTACCAATCGGATATTGAAATGGGACAACCAGTAAATATGCGGGATGGCTTATTAATTAACAAAGGTAGATTGTTGCCATAGAATAACATAACCCAAACATTGCCTAATTTGGCAGCTCTTTGACAGTTAAAAGAACTTCCAAGTTGGTCCATAAATACCAACAGTTTGAGAAACACAACAACGATACAAATAGCTTGTAATAGGTTCGTCATAATGCACATCCTAATTTCTTTTGCGCATTTAATAGCGCTAGGCTACTCCGTTGACAATGTATAATTGTCCTTTTTCAAATGTCATACGATCGTCGGCACTGCCATCCCCTCCCCCACATTTTCGGTCTTCCCCATAATCATCAACTGAACAAATTAAGAAAAGGGGGGGGGGAGAACGATATACCGATGTAATAATAATATCGGAACATGTATAAATCATGCATTGCCTAAAATAATAGAACATGTACTATTCCAAACCAATACGGTATTCCTGTTACTCCAGTTAGCCACATTTACAATATACGCACAATACCCACATTCACACAATAAACACACAATATACACAGCACGCACAATATACACCTCAAAGTAAATCATGGCACAGGAGAACTTTTCGTTCCTGAACAAATATGCATAGCCCCTGACTCTACCAGCTCTTATTTAGTAGGAATCCATCTCCGCGCAATGCATTCAAATCGTACTGCAGTATTGCAATCTCCAAATGTAACATGGGCGTATCGTATTAGGTTAATCCACAACCGGACGAAGCTCTTCTGCCATGTGTCAAAATGCAAAACAGATTCCAAACAAATGTAAGAAGAAGCAGAAAAGAAGGGGAAAGATAATGGCGTAAACGAGGTGGCCGTAACGATGGACAATGTGTGTACATCTGTATTGTTTGTGATGGCGTTGTTAAAGCGAGCTTGCATGTAATAAATATGTTGTTTTATTTATTGGTCGCTCCAACCCCAATTAGTTTGCAATCTCCGATCCGTCATCGCATGTTCAATCAACAAACACAAAAGCACGTGAAGAGAAAATAGAGTCCCTACTTCAACCCACAACGGGTGAAATTGTGGCATATGCTCAGCAATCAAGATTTCATACCGAGACCCTGGAAACGCTTAACAAAGATGTAAGTGATGTGCAAAAGGTTCGATACGCAAAAAATTTCAACATATTATGTTAACAAACATTCTTATTATAGATTGATCTGAAAGATGTTAATATAACGATTGGCATCAAGGAACTACTTACAGACGCGCGATTGCAATTGAAAAGCGGTGTGCATTATGGATTAATTGGACGCAATGGGGTTGGCAAATCAAGTACGCGCTTTTAATCTACTAAACGTGTCAAGAATAGTCATTTACTGGACAACTCGATTAATTACCCTCTGTTTCTTTACACAAAGCTCTTTTCCAATGCCTTGCAACAGGTGCTATTCCAGGAATATCATCGTCTATCCGCATTCTACATATTGCCCAACTTTCGCCTACCTCCACATCCCAAACTGTCCTCGATGCCGTTCTCTCCTCTGACACCCTTCGCTCACAACTACTCTACGAAAAAAATGTCCTTGAATCTGCAATGAATTCTGAGAGAGACGACAAAGTGAAACAGGCTATCGGAAAAATCAGAGAAGAAAAGTTAGAAAGGGAGCTTGATGAAAAACAAAAGATTGCGAATCGTAGAAGCGGTGCAAGAGGGCACGAGGCGAGGAGAGAAGTTTTGAGAGCAGAAGGGAAAGTTGGGAGTGCTAAGAGGTAAGTAAGAACAATCATTAGATGTAAGATATCGGAATACGAACATGGAATTGCGAATAGATGGGTTTGGAGAATTTATGTGAGACATCTGTTTTTAACTATAGAGATTTACAGTCAGAAAACGAAAGTACCAACAATGACGTCTATAAGGTAGCAACAGAGATGTTGGAAGAAATCTATGATAAACTCGAACAGGTATTTAGTCGCAACATTTTTAGGGCTACAGTAATGTCCTTTTCTGAGCATTATGACACTGGGCGATTACAATTTCACAATTCGATTATCTATTTCCCCTCCCTCCCGCCTTTGGTCGTTCGCAAATACATAGATCAAGGCAGATTCTGCCGAAGCAAGGGCTCAAGAAATTCTACATGGACTTGGATTTTCCCATAAGCAGCAGAATACTCCAATGACTTCATTGGTTTCATTATCCGGAGGATGGCGTATGAGAGTTGCGTTGGCGCAGGCCTTATTCGTAAGACCTGATGTGTTGTTGCTCGATGAGCCAAGTAAGGAATTTGTTACAAATAATCTATGAAAGGGAACTTGCCATATTTGACATGATAAAGTTTGTGACGTCATATCGCGCGTCAATTTTTACAAGACGTAAGACACGTCTCGAATATGTGGGCCTCTAACCATACCCAAATCATCCCACTAACCTCTATGTTTATCCTCATTCAGCCAACCATCTTGACCTTCCCGCAATTCTCTGGCTCCAATCTTACCTCAAGACACTCATCGATACAACTCTTTTAATTGTCTCTCACGATCGTCGCTTCCTCAATGCCACTGTAGAAGAGATAATTCGCTTTCGCGATCAGAAATTAACGTATCATGTGGGTAACTACGATGAATTTGAGGAAAACACAAAAAATGAGAGGCTAAAAAAAGAACGAATGTACGAAGCACAAGAGAAGCAGAAGAAACACATTGAAGAAAGTATACAGAAAGCGGAGAAGAAGGCCAAGGAGAGTGGAGACGATAAAAAACTCGGGATGGTTGCGAGTAGAAAGAAGGTATTTGAGAATGGATCGAAAAGTTTATAGAATTCTTATTTGAAGGATATGTTTTCACTTTCTCTTTTCTTTTAATCTAATATTCCTATATTTCTTGCCACCAAACTCGTGAAAAAAGAAACTCTCTCGAATGGGAATGAACAAAACCGAGTCTGGCTTCCGGTTTAAGCAGAACAAACACCGGATTGGTAAATTTAATACAGCTCGCGAACAAATAGTTATCGAAAAACCCGAGACTATTTCCAACTGGGATATCCCAAAGCCTATACCCTTGAGACATCACGGATCATTGATACAGCTGGAGAATGTTTCGTTTAGCTACCCAGAAAGAGAAGCCACATTAAGAAACGTTACGTTAAGAGTGGATATGGGTGATCGGTTGGGGTTCGTTGGGGCTAATGGTGGTGGTGAGTTTCGGGTCAGAACAATTAATGGGGTAATTTGTGTCTGCTCATCCTTTTTTTTTTTTTTTCCTCTGAACTTTATTAAAAAAATTTCACATGTGATGATTGCTCATTTACATTAGGCAAATCGACGCTTCTCAATCTTATCACTGGTACACTAACCCAAACCACTGGCACAATAAACCGACACTCTCGCCTTAACATCGGCTACTTTACTCAACATCATGTCGAAACACTGCCCTCATCGATCTCCGCCATGTCCTATATCACGTCCAAATACCCATCTCTCACTCAAAGCGCCGCGAGAACGTATCTTGGCAAATTCAATATCACTGGCGATCTCGCACTTCAACCAATCTCGGCTCTTTCTGGCGGTCAAAAGTCCCGCATTGCATTTGCCACTCAGGTGTACGACGGACCGCAACTATTAGTTTTAGATGAGATTGCTAATCATTTGGATATGCTTACCATTGACATGTTGGCTGCTGTGTTAAATGACTATGAGGGTGCAGTGATTTTGGTGAGTCACGATCGGTGGTTTATGGAAAAGGTCGTGAAGAAGGTTTATATGGTTAAAGACAAAATGGTAAAGTTGTTGGAAAATGGCATTAGCGAGTATGTCAGTATAGTAGCTAAAGAGGTTGGAGTTGAGGAAGAGATTTTTGAAGAATAGGAACTGAAACGAGGGAAAAGAGGTGGCTTGTATAACGGGGAAATCGAATGCGTATTCGAAATAGAAAGGGAAGGAAGAAAAAAAATTTTTTTTTTATTTTTTGTGCGATGAGGCTATGTAACTGTATGTATTTGGGTAGTGTGCGAACCCGAACCTTTGAAGTGCAACTTCGAATGCATGCATCATGCGCGCATATCCCGTATTTAATAATCTGTGATGAGATGTTAGATGTGTATGTCAAAGTCAAAATTTTTATTTTTTTTTCTTTTTTTTCTTTTTTTTCTTTGACATATGCTTAAGCATGATCACGTAATGATGTGATTATCAGTAGAATTAAGATTAATTATCGAGGTGACAATTGCATAATTTATAAGGACAACAAAAATAAAACGATGTAATCTTTTTTTTTTTTCGTCCATATTTCTTTGTTCATTATTAAACTTGGCATGTTCGACTCGATCGAGTATTTCATAGTGTCGCAATTGTAATTGACAAACTGACTGGTACACAACAATTATTAATTGCAGAAACCCTTTCTTCCTCAAAATTCAAAAATGATTATGATGCCTATGTGAAAGGTTTTTATTCGGAAAATCCGAGATTACGGAACGAATATTAATACTTTTGAGATGATACTTTTGAATAAAATGCTTTAAATGAATCATGATGAAATAAAAAAAAATGCTTTTTGAATTGAAGAACTTGTTTTTTTTTTCTTTTTTCCTAGGCTAAAATTATATAGTAATTGCTTTTTTTTTCTTGTTGCCTTATACTAAAGGCAAATCTTAAAATCATACACATATGGAATTATCCATTTGACGCGATCGGTAGAAACAACTCGTCCCCATTATCCATCAATTGGTAAAAAAAAAATCTAGTCTAAATCATATCCATAATCTTCCTTACAATTTCTCTCATCTCTCATAGTCTCTCCTTTTTTTTTTACTTTAGATCCGCATTATCCATATGCTTTTTGGGCAAATCTGATGAGTATGCTGAATTCGTATTCATTCTTTATAGCAGCCGATAGAAAAGCGACAAGTATTGATGGATGACCGTCCACATAGTCTTCAAAAGTTCCATTATTCCATCTTCCCATAGACCTAATTTCTGCCTTGGTCCTTCCTTGATCAATCATATCTTTTACACCACCCGCGCGAAAACTATACCGCAGAGCATCTCCATGTGTCAAATTTGATTTCAGCATATGCGTAAACCATTTTCTTGTTGCAATTTGACCATCTTCAAAACAAAATAACGCTTCGGCATCTGTGGCATAATTATCTTTTGCTCGGAATTTTGACATGTAGTGACTAAATGCTGTATACGGACATGTGTCGGTGTAAGTAGTACGAACGAGAAGATGTCTTGCTTGTGAATATTCATTCTTGGAGTATGGGATGCTTATATATACGAATGGAATAATGGAGCACGATTTGGGTACATGTACGTGTTCTAATCGTAGGATGAGCGGCTGGCGTGATGATGATTCAGTATCGACAACCAATTCGTTAATTCTCGCAAGTGAATGGAATGCTATTGTGCATATACACCAAAACAATGCATGTTCGGCATTATTAACATCCAATTGTTTCTTAATCGCATATAATAGTTCTCTAGTCATATAAACCTTATTTTCTTGTCGTAGATATGCATCGTCAACAATCTCTTCCTCCATTGATACTAAATCACACACTTCTCCAGCTATTTTGGAAGACCATGTTGTATTATCGTTACGTATTTCTTCGTGAGTTGTACATGTATTTGAATCGGAAAAGTAACCTGACGAAGGGCTGGATATACTGTCATCGTACGAGTCGAGTTTGACTTGAGCATCGTCTTCCAATAGGTCTGTTGCGATGCGATAAGGCTCGAAAGCATCAGCACCGTCGTCAGTACCGTAGTCGGATGTTGATTCAATGTCAATGTCTGATTCGCTCTCTTCAACTACTGCGGGAGGACTTGGCGGTGGTGAGAGCATCCAATCCTGGATTGGATCGTTCAGGTAGTCGCAGCAAGGAAATTCGTCGGACAGCTGAGAACAGGGAAAACCGGTTTATTTCACGTATATTGGAAGAGAGATAATTTCAGAGACGGGGGGGGGAGAGGGAAGGAGGAGGAGGAGGGGGGGAAAAAGTTGAGAGGAGGCGGTAGTTTAAAGTAAGCGAGGAAAGAGGGGAAGAACGAGTAAGAAAACAATCGTTAGTAAGAATATCATACGGAGAATACTCAACTCGAATAAATTCACAAAGGTGCTGCGGAATAAAAGTTGATCATTTTACATGGTCGCGACAAGGGTTTGTTTTGTCAGCGATACGCTCTCCATAGTAAAGGTTCAACATGTCGTTTCTAATGCGAGAGATTGATAGATAACTTTTTCTATTCATATCACTCAATCACTCTCTACATATTGCACCGTTTTTTACCCAGTAACTTGTGTAATACATAATAAATCGCTTACCGCTGATACTTGAGACGTGAATAAGTCATTATAATTCAAACCAACGGAGTCATGAGCAAGGATAGTTGCGGTTCGATAATTCGTAGCCATTACGTTCAGAGTGTTTCGTCGTGGAATAAAAACTTCATAAAAAGAGAGAGAGGTTGGAAACTCATAAAAAGAGACCAAGTTGATTTTGGGGGGCGAAATCATGGCTGGATCCAATTTTTGAACTAAAAATTTCTTGATTATCCGAACCAATCAGAGACAGGGTGTATATGTGGTAATATGTAGCAGAGTGTGATGTTTGTGATAACTGCGTCGAAAGTAAACACGCTGTGTTACCGATCGCCCGCCGTTGTTCTGATTGAGGAGCTGGACAAGAAGTGCGACAGTAGGCACATGAAAGAATTTATATCAGGTATATTAATATTGTACAAGAGAGACAGTAACGGTTGTAGTAATCTGTGAGAGTGTGATTATCGGGCAGTGATTGATGCATGAGTGATTATTGTGAAAAGTTGGGCGTCTTTCCTGTATGGGGATGGTTTAAGCACTAGGTAAAAGTGGCTAATACATTTTTCAAATAATGTATTTATTTATTGTAGAACATCTTACAACATGTAATTCTCATTAATATAAACTGATTTTAATTAAAGTAATCGACGTAATCAATAAAATCATTGGTATCAATAGATCTACATTAGATTTGCTTGCTGTATAATTCGTTTATTAATAGTAATTTCTGCATGAGCACATGCGCTACGTCTTATGAGGGGAATTAACGGGTTAGACTGATACTGCTAGTGTCATTGTAA